TAAACGTCTATCAGCTCACACAGGAGGCGGACAGGACCCAACTTTAACATACTTTCCATATTGCTTTTCTACAGTTTTTAGGTCACTTCAAGACAGAAACAGTCATTATCTTCTCAACAAATATAAACCAATATAAAAGTTCCTAAGTGGTTCTAGTAAGTCCAATTATCTATCCCCTAGCATCCCCTCCCGGGGGAGCCTCTCAGTGAAAATAGATCTGCTGTCATTAGAGCCATCACCGCACCACAGCAGCCACCCTGACAGGAACAACTCAACAAAACACTTCTTGCTTTTTAGTGATAAACCACCCCGATTGGATGAAAAGCTGGACATGAGCCGGCCATGGGTGCTGAGGAGGGCTACTAAAATGCTCCGAGGGCTGGAGCCCCTCTGCTCTGAGGCCAGGCTGGGAGAGTTGGGGGTGTTCAGCCTGGAGAAGAGAAGGCTGCGGGCAGAGCTGAGTGCGGCCGGTCAGGGCTTAAAGGGGGCCCAGAGGAAAGGGGGGGACAAGCTTTTTAGTAGGGCCAGCTGTGACGGGACAGGGGGGGATGGTTTTAAACTGAAGCAGGGTAGGTTTAGACTGGATCTAAGGAAGAAATTCTTTCCAGTGAGGGTGGTGAAACCCTGGCAGGGGTTGCCCAGAGAGGGGGTGGAGGCCCCATCCCTGGGAACATTCCAGGCCAGGTTGGCCGGGGCTGTGAGCAACCTGATGTGGTTCAAGGTGTCCCTGCTCCTGCAGGGGGGTTGGGCTGGGTGACCTCTGGGGGTCCCTTCCCACCGAAACCATTCCATGATTCTATGATTCTCCGTGTCCTTTCTCCCATGGTGCTGGCAAAGGCTGGGTAGGTGATGCCACATTTGTTTGCCATGGGTGCACAGCTGAGCTCCAGTAAGGTGGAAGCTGCTGCCCGTGACGGTCCAAAGCTGGCCACCGGCACCTCACGCCCATCGATGGGATTTAACGTCCATCTACTCAACAGACAACAAAATTTACACTTAGCTGTGAGTGAGAAAGCGCAAACCCCAGCGTATACTGGTGCGAGGAGAGCACAATGCTTCATCGCATCTCCGCATTCCTGGCTGCCAAGCCTAAGCCGCCAAGGAAGCCCATGCGATAGGCACCGTAAGCAGGCAGGAGGCAAAGCATGGACGAGGAAGGCAAGGAGCCCCAGCTCCGACGCCGCAGAGCCACCCGCGGGCCAACGGCACTGCTCAGCAGCTGCAGAGAATTTCCCCAGGGACTGGACTTCCCAGCACTGACACAACAGACTTGGTGTCTCAGACAGCAATTAATTACCCTCCTGTAGCTGAGGGACAAGCCATGCTGACCTTTAAAACCCACAGCTTAGGAGTACGCGCTACAGGAATTACCTCCAAAAACAGATAATAAAGGCTTCGTAATGAAATAAGAAGCTCTTGCCCTTCTGTTGGATCGTGGGTTTAGTCTGGGTATTCCAAAATACTACTGAATGCTCTTTGACTTTTTTGTTGATTTTCTATTACAGGCGACTGCATCATAACATTGTAAAAAAAATATTTGAATTGCTGTTTTTCTGACATCTTACCACACAAACCAGCAGAACTATTTTTGGAAACTGGTTACAGAGTGAACAAGCCCACTTGCATTTACTAAGATCCCCCAGACACTTGGCAGTTCTGTGATTACGAACGTGCAGAATTTGAAGGCAACGCACCCGCACCAGAATTCACGTTGCCCTGCTCTGAAAGAACATGGTTTGAAACCAAGGAAGAATTTCTGTAAGCCTCCAGAGTTATCAAAACTATATCGGCTAGAGAAAAAAATATGAAAGATGTTAGGCATTAATTAGAAAAACGCAGCTGCTGCACGCCAGCAGGCAGGAGGAGGGAAGTTAGGGAGGAAACCAAAAGAGCACTTGCTGTAAAAACTCAGGGGCGCAGATTTATACCTGTACCTCGTCTTCCTGAGCTAGCAGGGGCCCTCGGGCCAGCCAGGCAGTTGTCATTACTGCTCCCCAGAAGTTGAGATGAAAGCTTTCATCTCTTCCATAAAGAACAAGGGTACAATACAGGACGCAAAAAACTGATGTTAAGCCTTACAGTTTCAGGTCTCCCTCGGTGTAACTGCAATTTAATGGCACAAATGTAAAGTTTATGGTGTGACAGAAGACATAAATCCGTAGAGCCATGCAGCACGGTGCCTGGGCGCTCTCAGCAGCGGGCGCCCCGAGGATGAGGAGGGTGCTGCCGGGAGGGAGCGGGGAACCAGCCCCCCCAACACCTCTGGTTGTGAGCTGGGCCCTGCCCGGTTGACAAGGTACCGGCCTCTTCGCTCCCACCACGTCAGAGACCCTCAGCATCATGGCCTCAGTCCTGCAAATCCACAGACCTGGCTTAGGTCCTCCACAGAGATGCCAAGCCAACGGCCAGTTCAGAGGCTGTGGTACACCAGCAGTCACTGGTTTCAGTGGTAACACACAGGAACAACAGGCCAGGCCACTTAGTCCACTATTCCCACTAGGAAAAACATGTATTTAGGTTTAGGAGTTTTCACAGAGAAAAAGAAGGGGAAAAGAATATTCCAGATGCATCCTAATAACTTACTGCTAATTATTCCAAAACTCGCATGACCCCGCCGCCCTCCCTGCTGCGCTGCTGGCCGGGGTTTGCAGCCCCCGCAGCACAG